GATTTTGCTAGGCGTTATTTGGGTTATTCATCAGAAGAGGGGGTAGATGTCCCGCAATTGCAATGCACGAACACTATTCCTTCTGCCACTAGACTCAAGGAGGCAGGCATTTAAGAAGGCCGAGTCAGGAAACATCATCGATGTAAAATTCCACAAGGCCGAGGGTGTCCTAGAAATCCCATCTTTGCTGATCAATCCATCGACAGAAACGATCTTCAGGAACATCATCAGCTTTGAGGAATGTAGCCCTTTTTGCATACCGAGAGTGACATGCTACGCCATGCTCCTAGATTGCTTGGTTGACACCTCAGATGATGTGGAATTTATGAGCAAAGCAGGAATCTTTGCTAATTGGTTAAACCCTGAGGAAGCGGCTAAATTCTTAAGCACAATGCGCAATGGCACTTCCATAAATGTTTTCTTTTATGCTCACCTTTTTGAGGATGTGAACGCTTACTGCTTGAAGTGCTGGCCAGAATGGCGAGCTTCTTTGATCCAAAACTATTTTACCAAGCCATGGGCTATAGTTTCTATAATTTTTGCCATTACCGTTTCGTTTTTCACCATCATGCAGGTCTTCTATAAGTAGGGACAAATTACCCTTTAGACACTTTTAAATTTGCCAAGGTAGTGTGTTGTTAGAAAATTCATTACTAAACAAACATTGCAGATGAGAATAAATGACCAAATTTATTGAAAATTGTGCTCCACACTTTTTGCGTCATAGGGGGTGATCATCGAATAGTGATACAAATTTATCATTTTATTTAACTTTGTAACCTCAACAAATGACAGACAAAATCTATCGTCATGTATTTAAGGATAGACATCCAATGGTAATGTAGCTTCCCTGTAACAAGATCAGCAGTTTTTCTGGGCTTCAACAACAATCTTTCGCTAAAAAGAAATAACTTCAGCTGGCTGAGGGACTCCAAACACTGAGGACCGTGCAATAATGCAGATTCCTCCTGCTGAAGCAGCTATATCAATGGTTGAAGGCCCTAAACCACCATCTACCAGCAAAACAGAGAAGCAGATGTTTAAATATGCATTGGCATTAGTTATGTTGCTACTTTTACTCCTTTTCTTAAAGTAGATGCACTCAAATTGGAATTGGACTGCAAAAGCCAGATGGTTTTTCTAAATATTTAGAGGTTTTACATGATTTAACAGATAATTAAGCAATCTATAATCCTTAAAACTTTTAAGTTCTGTGCTCAGGAAAAATTTTCCTTAAAATTGTATATAGCATCTTAAAACCCCCTTGCTGCAAAAATACAACTATGGAGAAATATGCATATCTACACCAGTCGATTGAGAAGAAGAAGCAAATGAAGCTGATGAAATGATCAAACTAAGAGATTCTCTTTCTTTCTTTTCTTCATTTTGAAGAAAATGGTTATATAATAGACATGGACTTACCTCTATATCAAGTCAAGTGATGGGTAATTCTTTCTTAAAACTTGCACATAAATCCAAAAAAACACAACAAATAAAAATTAATAACAATAACAAGTTGCTAGCAGAGAAGGTGCAATCTAAGATTCAAATTCACAAAGCAATAACGAATGGATGAGAAGGCACCTTTTCAATCATGTCCAGCATGAACTTTTGTCCACCAAATCCAGGCTCTACAGTCATGACAAGAACCATTTCCACAGGATTTTCACTGTCAACCTGCTAAACAGACAAGGACCCCAACCCCCAAGATTTAAAAATATGTAGTGTAGAATCTTAATCACTTGAAATTAATTGTTTTACAATTACAGAATGATGAAGCACAATGTTGTTGAACCCAAACAGTTAATTGTGATATGTGCATTTTGTTGAACACAAAGATCCAGCAAAGTAAATATGAAAACTCAAAATCAGATAAAATAAAAAGAACCTTACAGGGGGTTAACTTCTTCAACTGGTGTTCCAGCCTTTAATGCCACACCAGGATCAGGCCTCATGCCCTTTGACTAGATTCTTTGGATGAGCTCTTACCAGTTCTCTGCGAAGGGTACAACAATATCCCTCCATCAGAAACACAAGGAACATAATGCAGGAAGAAGAGGTAAGAAAAAAGGGATAATGCATCTTAACTCACCTTCGGAGACGTCAACATGAAAGGTGAAACCTGAAGCACCAGCTTTACCCAAAGGCCCAACATAAGCAATTGGATTTGTCACTATAACGTGACAAGCGAGATATGCCCTGTGGTAGATAAGGGAGGATATGAGGCCTAGTTAGAACTGTGAGCTTCTCAAAAATAAAAAAGATGGTAATGCAAAACAGAAGTTTCTTTAAATGCTTTCTTAAACCCTCAATAACTGAAGCACCAATGATAAATTTGGGACAAAATGCCTGTAGAACGTAATTAACAAATAAACATCTTAAGGTACTTAAATAGAGGTTACAGAGAAAGTATCACTAATAACCATCTAGAAGAAACAAGCTTAAAGCACAGTTCTGCATGAAGTTCACTCAAAGCCGCATCAAACCTACCCATCCTGCGCAAAAGAGAAACTAAGGGGGAAAAAAAGAATGTCAGATTCAGAAAAGCAGTATCATAAAGAGGTTAAACTCTGTTTCAATAAAGACTCAAAATTTCAAAGCTTAGGCAAATTAAACTATGGCAACTGTATATTGAAATCCATTCTGGTTTCCTTTTCTATTCAAAAACAGAACTGAGATTAAGATCAACCAGAGAAATGATTACCATAATGTCCCTGTGAAGCCAATCGGCGCCGCAGTTGAGCATGCGCCCAGCCTCCGACGACAGCATCGACGGAGTGATCTTCGCCTCTAGTCCCATGTCGGAATCCGAAAGAATACAAAACCGCAAAATTTCGACTTCAGAGTAGAAAAGATTGGAACGAGGGAGAAGGAAAACAAAGAGAATGGGGGAATAGAGAACGGTGGTCCAACGGCGTCGTTTTAATCGCAGAAAAACGAGAAATCAACGGAGCCATTAATCTTCCCTCCAGCGACGGTTTGACTCGCCGCCGTGGATTTCTGAAAGAAAGAAAATCTGATTTCTCATTTCCGCCGCTGCATTTACAAAATTCAAGATTGAATGTTGACCGTCCGATTTCGAGAACAATTAAACATCACCACGTCCCCCAGTAATGAAGATTTTTTTTTTTGCGTAAGCATCACGCGAATTTACGTGCTGAATACTTGATTTATGTGGACGTGACATCCATGTCAGCAAATTCTACCAATATTAAGTCGCCATGTCATCATCATTCCCCCTCGCTTCCAATACGTAAACTGAAGGCGGTAGAACTTTCCAGATCCTTAACCTTTTTTATATAAGTCCCGTAACCATTCCTTCATATGCAGTTTTCCTTATCTAGAATTTTCTTCTCATCGTAGCATCTTCTTGAAGCAATTAGCGTTATCTGTTTGAGAAAATGCCGAGCAGGTATCCAGGAGCAATGGCGCAGGACTGGGAACCTGTGGTGCTGCACAAATCCAAGTCCAAGGCGCAGGATTTGCGTGATCCGAAGGCGGTGAATCAGGCGCTGAGGAAGGGCGCACCAGTGCAGATCATCAAGAAATTCGATGCCGGATCGAACAAGAAAACAGCAGGACCGGCGCTAAACGCGAGGAAGCTGGACGAAGCAGCAGAACCCGCTGCGCTGGACAGAGTCTCTGCCGAAGTGAGACAGGCAATTCAGAAGGCGCGGCTTCAGAAGAAGATGAGTCAGGCGGACCTGGCTAAACAGATCAACGAGCAGCCAAAGGTGGTGCAAGAGTACGAGAATGGTAAGGCCGTGCCCAACCAGGCCGTGTTGGCCAAGATGGAGAGAGTCCTCGGTGTCAAGCTGAGAGGAAAAGTCGAGAAATAATAAAAGAAACGACGGTAGGTTATGTTTTGTTAAGTGTTTGTAACCGTGTTGCATCTTGGACATGGGCATGTTTTGTTTGTAGTTTGGTGAATAAATTAAATTAGGCTTATGGCCAGATAAAAAAAAAAGAAAAAAAGAAAGGCTTTTTCTTAACATTGGGAAATTCGAGAGAGGGGGATATTTTTTAAACTCAAATTTCGACCAATTACACCCAACTACTTGGTTTGGGTGTCCAAAATGCCCGGTTTAAAAAAAATGGCTTTAATGAAAAAAAAAAAAATTAAAATTTTGTCTTTATTTGTATCAGATGAACAAATTAAAAATCTCTTGTACTATACTACTATCTAACCCAGCCAAGGCAGAATTTAAGACCAAACAATCAGGGTTTAAATTTATTACAAAGATGGCAGAAATAGCAGTTCTTGTAATAATGATACAGCAATTTATGATAAAAAACCAACATGAAGCACATTATTTCACCACACTCTTATAAGGTAGTCCATGCTGTGGTATTTTTTTTTAATAAAATCCTGCTACGGGCTTAGAGGCTTAGAGCCAAGGGGAGCTATAAATGGGTGTCACAACGGACTTGACTTGGAAGTACTGATGAAGGGCTTCTAATCCAAGGTCTCTTCCAAAACCGCTCATCTTATACCCTCCGTAAGGACAGTCATGATCAAACGCAAAATAACAATTGATCCATATGATACCAGCACGGATTGATCTGGAAACAGTATTAGCAACATTCAAGTCCTTGGTCACAATGCCTGCTGCTAGGCCGTATCTAGTGTTGTTTGCTTTCAGAATCGCCTCATCTATGGTCCTAAAATTGCCAAGTTCTTTATCAGTTTCATATGAACTAGTGAAGCACTTCGTATTTTTAAAATGATGAAACTCATGAAAATGGTTTCCCTTACTTGAATTTCATCAATGCCATTACAGGTCCAAAAATTTCCTCTTGTGCTATGCGCATGTCCTCCTGCGTAGGATTGAGTTTGAAAATAAGGGTTAAAACCATGTAACTAAGACTCAAGCATTTTGTAATTACAAGTGTTTACCTTAACATCTATAAATATTGTTGGTTCAATATAGAATCCCTTGTTTCCCAAAGCCTTGCCTCCTGTCAACAATGTAGCTCCTTCTCTCTTTCCTTGTTCAATGTAATATTGGATTTTCTCAAACTGCTTCCTATCAACCTACACCAGGTGCCAAGTAGTTAAATAAGTAGCATGGTAAGATTAGCTTAGTTGGTACCTATTTGCCCATAAACTAATTTGATTCTACAAATATTGGTACTAACCTGGGGTCCTTGACAGACTTTAGGATCAAAAGGGTCTCCTACCACCCATGATTTGGCCTTCTCCACCAACTTCTTCACAAATTCATCATAAATACCTTCTTGAACATAAACCCGGGAACTTGCCACACAGATTTCTCCCTAAATTTATGAAGGAAGTTTAATTAGTACTTTAGCTACATTTAAGAGCCAAATCAGATTGGATCCAAATCAAGAAGACTACTACTCAACCTTGTTATACGTAATTCCAGTGAGAGCAAGATCAGTTGCTGCATTTAAATCAGCATCATCAAAAATCAGGAGAGGTGATTTTCCTCCTAACTCAAGTGACACTGGTTTTAGATTGCTTGCAGCTGCAGCCTGCATTACTTTGCGCCCGACTTCTGTTGACCCCGTGAAACTCACCTGAAAAGGTCATCTTTATCAAATGAAATAAACAATAGAGAATACAACGTAGCTTTGGAAATTGATAATATATACTTTATCAATGCCCATATGAGAGCTAATTGCAGCCCCTGCAGTCTCTCCAAATCCAGTTACAACATTGATCACCCCATCAGGTATGCCAGCCTAATTAGAAAGCAAAACCAGAAGGTCAGAAACAGGATCACATTAAAAGATAAAGCATATTAATCCAGACTGTGTAAAAAAAACTTATCAATCTGGATTGAAAATGACCAAAAAATCATTAATGGACTTATGTGCAAACCCCTAATTTATTAGTAACATTTTAGTCATTTTCAACCTGAAATGACATTTCTTTAGCCAGTTTGACTGAAAATAAATAACTTTGCTCACTAATTAGTAATTAGTAATTACTATTAATAATAAAGTTACTAATAAAACAAATTTGGGGTTGTCCAAACACACCTGTTTGGCAAGATGAGAGTAGTAGAGAGCAGAAAGAGGAGTTTGCTCGGCTGGCTTCACAACCACCGTGCAACCTGAAGCTAATGCGGGGCTGAGCTTCATAAAAAGGAGATTACTTGGAAAGTTCCATGGAATTATGAGGCCAACGACACCGATGGGCTCCAGGAGAGTATAGGCGTGAAATTGACCTGACATTTTCAAAACTTCACCATGAACTTTATCAGCTGCGCCGGCATAATAACGGAGAGTGTTAACCACTCCCGGAATATCCCTGGCCTTGCCGAGAGCAAACAACTTTCCAGCATCAATAGCATCCAGAGCAGCTAATTCTTCTTTGTGTTCCTCTATTAAATTCGCGAACTTCATCATGATCCTTCCCCTCTCCTGATACCAATTAAAAGAAAGAAAAAACAATAGTGATGTTTAAGAGGATACTGCAGAGTTCCATTACATCTTTTCCGGAGATGTTTATACATGTTCAATCAATTATCATCCGGCAATTTTTTAATTGATTTAAAATTAATAAAGTTAATATTTTAAAATTTAACATTATAATTAATTATATTAAATTTATGTATTACATAACCTAATTATATAAAAAATGTTAAAAAAATGTTAAAAAAAAGTAGGAAGGAGAGTGTTGCTAGCATGAAAATAAGAGAGTTAATTTAGTTAAAGTGAAAGATGATTTGGAACAAGAAAAATTAATTATAGCGATAGTATAGTTTTATATAAGAAATATTGTGATAGATTAATAGCAAAGGGAAGTAGAAATATAGTGATAGATAAATGGCAAAGGGGAGTACTAGCTATATGAGGTTAAGATTGTAAACCCTTATACCTGCATATGCTTCGAATCATCTTAGGGCTAATATATGATTAAAAAAATTAAATTTTATCATATATTAGCCCTAAGATTCAAAGCATATGCAGGTATAAATAAGCTAAAGTTATACCTATGGTACCTAGTACAAGAAGGTAAATAGTCATAAATTAATTAAACAATTGCGAATAAGAAACCACCTAATACTAATAATTACAGTATCAATCAAATAACGTTATTATTACACTTTCAATTATCAATGTCATATTTTTTTATTTTAATTAATTATTACACTTTTTAATTTATTAAAAAATTTAAAATTTAAAATTAAAAAAATATAATATAAAAATGTAATAAATAATTATATTAAAATAATTATATTAAAAAAATATAATATTAACTATTTAAAGTGTGACAATAATTTTTGCCGCATTAATCATGTAGGACTAAAACTAATTTTTTTTTTTAGATATTAACCTCTCAAAATCTTATAATCATATTGAGTATCAATTAACGTGAAATTGAGTCCAATCGAATCTTATTAGGAGGGAAAATCTCTTAACGCCTATTTCTCTGTTTATAAGACTTGAATTTGAAATATCGTTTAAAAAGAATCGAACTCTTTTCACTTATACCAATGATTCGTACGTGGGCTAAAGCAGATATACGAAAGCACGAAGACAACCTCTTACGCACTATCGGCCCTTTCAAGTGTCTCACATGTTATGCAAGCTTTGGAGGTTACCATG